CACCTGACTTTTTGTGCTTTTCCATTCTAGGCCTTTTTTGAGATTTTTGGGTAAAATTTGTAAGATAAATATTAGACACCTGAGATTCTCATGTGTTGTATGAAGCTCTGTTTACCTTATCATCCGTATTAGGCCACACAATAAAACTCATTCGATTAACCGCAATAAGGAAACCCATGTAGATCTGTACAAAGCCTAAGTGGGGGCCAAGTCCAGCTGACTAAATTGAAAAAGATATATCTTTATTTTCTGCAAGGGTTTGGTGATGTGAAACCGAACTCACAATTCGAACAATGAATTCCGGAACCTTTGTGTAGATCGAATTCCACCAGCTGTTTTCAGTTGTCTCGTTGGCCAATTGAATAAAGTAAAAACTGTTTGCGAAAACGATGATGTTCTGAATGAAATGTACAATTAGTGAGTCTGTCATTTTGCAGGTTCGAAGAACTTGATTATAGTTTGCTTACCGTAAATGCCTGTATAATTATCAAGGAGTAGAACGATCCAAAAAGTCGTTGTTTTTCCTTGTAAACCAGGAAGACGACAATGACATATAGTACGATAGACGGAATACAGTAGATCGACCTTATAGTGAGCATTAACACTTGAAGCAGCAAGTGAAGCAGACCTGGGGTTCCTGAGCTACTTAACGCATTACCTTATGTTTGTAATTAGTAAATCAAATTCCTAAGAACATGATGTGATGTGATTGTTAATAGGCTCAGCAATCATTAAGTTGTCAGCTACGATCAAAAACTAAAGATTTTGGTTGAAAAGAACTAGAATGGTAATCATATAATTGACAGCTACGCATAAGCGATAATCGTAGATAATTATTACCAGAACTTCCGAGTTGCAACGTGCAAGATTTTTGATATTCTCTGTCGATTTATTCACAACTTATTTCATCGAAATTATGCGTTGAATTGTGATAGTAAATAACGGTTCAATTTCCTTTGAGCTAGTTGCGTAACGAATTCTTCAGAATCGAACAGGACTCAAGAAATAATTTTGTTTTTGATTGTTAGTTCGTGGATAACACCGAACGAACGCAAATTTGGCATGAAAAAAACAATCTTTCTATGTTCGGTCGATCTGATGGCAGATGTTTGATGCATACTATAATAATATTGTATTAGTGGGTTTATTTCTCGAAAACACTTATAATTTCACAGTATACCCAGTAACTCTATCTTCTCGACGTACCGGAGAGCGTTTACATGACGACACGTAGACGCTAAAATGAGTAATAAATCAAAACATAGAATTATATAACCGACCTTTTCTTTAGTTAATTTATAACTGAGGAAGTGTCTAACCACTTATCCATAATGTCATGGTCCTAATGTTATACCGAGATGCATGATGGGGTGAGCCATTGAGTCAAACTTCAGCCTAATTGACACCTAAGACAGACTAGAATAATAAATCGGATAGCAGCTGCTATGTCTCGCCAATGTAAATGTTTTTCAATTACTTCATGATTTATAGTTCGAGAATTTTGAGCCATTTCACACTCGTCTGCAACAACGGTAAGAAAAAGATATTGCAAAGTGACTGGCATTTGATTCCGAGGTTATACACAAGAAATCAGTCTAGGCTGATTTAGGACAAATGCAACGAATACAGAAAAGCAAAAGTTCTTGCAGAGAGAAATATCTATCAAATGGTAAAAATGATAGAAATTAGCAATTTTTTGACAAAATTCAAACTATAAAAAAGATTGTCTGTCGGTCACGGAATTCATAAAGCTAGTTGCAGTCAATGTTTTCAAGACACAATTTTGCACAGCATACGGTACCAGTGCGTAGAGTCACCGTGCTCAAGCATGAGCTGGTCCGACACAAGTATCCTTCAGAAATAGGGTGTCAAAAAGGTCCCTGTGGATTTTTGCCCGCAGAACTGGATCGTCGAACTTTTTGTAAGAAGAACTCGAACGGTGAAGAATTTGTTCGGAAAGCAAATTTGCAAGCCATTGATTTCAGCTCAAAAACTGTTTTTAGAAATTGTATTTCCCCGCGAAAACGGCATCAAAAAAGAATGAGTTCGTGGTCTGTCATTCTATCAAGTTTTTGCTCAGTAACTGGGAAAATTATTGCTTAGAGAGTGGCCCACGGCGATTATCGTCCTTATGGTGACTATCAAGCTAAACTAATTTCGGCAGCTGTTTCATATTCGCACTCCTTTTGCAAAAAAAAAAACTTTGCTCTTTCGAAATTCACCGATCTTACATGGGAAAATTCAAGGAAATCAGTTTTTTACGACTCATTCGAAATACTCAGCACTTTGTGGTAAGTTTCAAAGCGATTAATGAATGAGGAAGGATAGGATGATAGAGCCAGTGCGAACCTCTGCGAAGCAGAGCTGACGAACTGGCATATTATAACCATGGATGTTATATCACTTTGATTGATGTAATATATGTATATATGTGACACTCCAAACACATCAGTAAGCTTACTTCTTCACTTTCTTCTGTAGCCGTTGTAATACAGGCAAGCAAATGAAAAATGAAATCATGAGCGATATGCTGACTGCACTTACAAAGAATGTGCTCTTCGTCAAAGTGGCCACATGCTCAATGCCTTTCTGCAGATGATCAAATGCTGACTCTAGATGTGTCCCCGCTTTCTGCTGTGTGCCTTTGGTGTAATTTAGGCGAAATGACGTTACGGCCCCCTGGCGCTCAAATAAAGGAGTGCTGCGTGTAAGTACCAGATTGTAACAAAATTAACGCAGATTTTTCGCCTACTTTTTTCAAAGGCTGGTTTGAAATAGGAAAACGTCTTTTTGGAGAGCCTACACATCATTTGAAAGGTGTTTTCTTCTAATTTTAGACATGCTTTGGGTTTGACAGATATAAAGTGTTCAAAAATTAGGAGCATTTGTTTGATAGACCAAACCTTAAATTTCTTTCTTTTGTACGCTTTGTTCTATTAGGTCATTCCGAAAGTAATTTCGCTTTTTTCAAACGGGCGCCGCATCTGATGGAACAAAGGTTTCTTAGAGATCTTGGAAGCATTCGATGCAGCATCTCATTCTCTTTCTAACGGTTGTAAAATTGTTGCAAAACAGTCAATGAGCTTTCAGAAAATAACCAAAATCTGCGACCCATGCTTTTTGAGATGGTCAAGTTTCACGATTTTTTAAAACTCTCATATCAATTCTCAGAAGAAGTTCAAGTGACGGTATGATAGAGCAAACCTCATAGAATACAGTGCAATTTTTTTCTCTTTTCTATAGCTTGTCGTACATTTTTAACAGAATTTTAACTGAAGCTACCGATTTCCATACTTGGACAGCTAAATCCTAGTAGAACATCAAACCTTGAGCAGCTCGGGTGTCATTCGATGCAGCTTTTTCTCCTCTTTCTAGTGGGTGTTTTTTGTTTCCGATCCATTTAGTTTTCGGGGATAAAATCATCTTAACTCATTTTTTTAACGAGCCCCAAACTGTACCCGCAAAACTCGACATTTGATATTTCAAATCCGTAAACCCTCACTTGCTTTGTAAAATTAATGCTAACTCATAGTATCATCTTGGTAGTCTCAAATTCCGAAAAATTATGATGTTTGATGCGACTGTGGTTGAGGTGGGCCTGCCAAAATCCGATGGTTCTGTTAAAATTTCTTTTAAAAAATTACGGCAAGCTACGAGAAAAGGAGAAAAGTAGCGCTGTGTTCTATAAGGTTTACTCTATCGAATCGTTACTTAAGCTCCTTCTGAGGATTGATATGAGAGTTTTAAAAAATCGTGAAACTTGACCATCTCAAAAAGCATGGGTCGCAGATTTTGGTTATTTTCTGAAAGCTCATTGACTGTTTTGCAACAATTTAATAACCATTAGAAAGAGAATGAGATGCTGCATTGAATGCTTCCAAGATCTCTTAGAAACCTTTGTTCCATCAGATGCGGCGCCCGTTTGAAAAAAGCGAAATTACTTTCGGAATGACCTAATAAATCCGTCATAAAAAATCGAAATTCTCTGCAAATTTGCGCAACGTTCTTGAGTTTTGCTACAAAATGCGTACCGAATTCTGACTTCTAAAAGGCTCCTGAGCTGAAAATTCAGACGAACATAGAAGGTCGTTGCACTCCGTTTGGTCTGTAAAAAAACTCAGCGAAAAGCTATTGCAGAGCATTCGCTGTATACAGGAAGAATAGAGATAGGTTATTTATAAATACAGCGTGTCCCAAAAAGATGTGCACACTGTTCGGTCGTAAATAACTCTCTTGCTTTCATGTCTTTTGCCGAGTTTGAGGTACCATTCTGTAGAGCGAGGTTCAACTTAGATTTACAATATGGAGCAAGTCACCGATCAATCTTTATCACTGTAGGATTACGGTAGGAACTTCGAGGGAGGATTTTAAGCCTTGCAAGCGGTATTTTGCCCCATAAACGAAGCCAAACAAGCCAGAAACTCTTGAGCTGGGCTAATCGAAGTCGCTGATTCTAAGTGTGAAAATTGCCTTTAGTATAGTGCTTCTCTCGTAAGTTATTTCAGATCTAGGGTGACAACTGTTTTTTCCAGTACCCGTCACAAATGTGATCAGCAGGGTAAAGGGGAAGTGCGGCACGCCGCAGGGAAGGAGTCGTATCGACCCAAGGTCAAAAGCGGTTTTTAAGCGTAAAAGCACTGTAACTAGATTTTTAGGTGTGCCCACTCTTTTCTAACTATCTCTGACAACTCGGGGACGTAACTGAGAAAAATACTAAATGTACTCTTGGTTTAGGTACGAGTTTATTTTCAATAGAATTTCTTGAAAAGCAGGTTTTGCAGTGAATGGATGATGATGTGACGACCGACGAGTGATGTGTGGGAAAGTGAAGATTTGTCAATAGAAATACACGATACATTTGAACAACTTGTGTCGGAAGAGAGGAACATACACATACTGTTGTTGTGGTTTCTGTGTAAAATGTACCTTTAAAAAACATTTATCTGTTGCATACGCTAATATAAGGAAATGAATAGTGATTTATAAAGATGTGAAGATGTTCAGTCTGTTTTCTTAGAAGATCCGATTGAAAAAATGTTCATCTTAGCAAGTTCTTTTTGCAACAGCCGGTTCTTAATTTCCTCTGTGTCCTTTCGTGCATTTAGACCGTGAACCGCCATGTGGCGCCTTACATGGAGCTTGGCCAACTCATATGCATCTCCTAGATGCATAGAATGCTTTAGACTGTAGAACATGAAATGAATCGAACCTTTTGCAATGTTTTCTTTTACTGCTTTCATGAGGCTGCCTTCTCTAGCTAGATTCGATGGCATACCCGGATCGAGCCCACGTCCCGGTACAGGATGCATCCATTGGAGTGCTAACTGTAAAAGTTTGACTGTTAGGATGCTAGGCCCATTACGCTGCACCCTAAAACATGCTTGATGGTGGAGCATACTTACACCAACAGGGCTTACGTCATGATGTTATCTAGAGACTCCGTCTTTATGTTACTCCTTTCCTCTCTAGAGAGCCTGTTAGCAGCAGAGATACTGCGCTCGGGATCGGCGTTGCTTGCGGGGAGGATGAGGACGCATTTTATGGCCTAAAAAAGCTTTTGCTATAATCCAAAAAAAAAGACGGGAAATGTAGTACCTGCTGGACCTCATCCGGAACATGCAGACTGTTACTGTACTGTAACAGTGTTCGATAAAACGACAGACTATCTGAGTGTTCTCTGAAGTTTGATTCCCACTTTGCAAACCTTTGCACTGACGCAGGTATAGCATTATAGAAGCGAATCATGCTATCCTTGAGGTCAGGGATGTTACAGAACTGATTAAGTACTTCAACTTCAATGGGATCCATAATTTGCTGTTGACGAAGATTTGGATCAACTACGTCGGCTTCCATAATAAAATAGCTGGGGCATCCTCTATTGAAGAAGTTTGCTTTTGTCGGTACATAGTCAACAAATCCGTTTTCGAAATCTCCGTTGAATTCAATCATATCCAGTATAATGTGCTTATCCAATGCCAGTAGATCAATATTATTGAATTCATGAGGCTTATTTTCACGAGCTGGGCATCTAATGCCTGCTTCTTTTCGTTGTAGAAACGTGTAATGGAAGGATATACAGCATTGTTCCAGTCGAAATCTTCATATCGTTTTGCTCAACTATAGTGCCTTAAGTCACCTTCACTACTTTCTGGAGCATCTTCAAGGCTAAAGGTGAGTTCGGGATCGTCTAGGTCCGGAGGGCTTTCTTCGTAGGATGTGGTGCGAGCCAAGTCTCTGAATAAATGCCAGTCCAGAAGTTGTTGCCGTTCTTCATCATCGCCTTCTGAGCAGCGGTCGAGTGAAAAATCTGCGAACGCTCGAGGATTGTATGCTAAAAGGCGTCTGTCATCTTTGTTAGGGTCGTTGTTGAGGAAGTCCGCATCGATACGTTGTATTTCGTCATGAACATAGGCCTTGATGGTTCCTCGCTCAAGTAAGTTTTTTGTCGTTTTTTCTAATAGACCTCGTGTTGCTATACTGTAGACAAGGGCTCTCCACTTTTGTAGGTTGTCAACAAGTAGCCCTTCCTCGCGCTGCATATACTGCGACAATGCAGAAAGCTCATGCATGGTAGTGTTGGCGTGATGTAGAGCTATGTACGTCCTCGCATCCGAAAGCACATGAAATGTCGGAGTAGCTCTTTTTTTGAGGCTGCTGCTAAAACGTCTATTATATCGTATATCCGTCAGTGCCTGTAGGATCACAGGGTAAACGCGAAGTATACTGGATAGTGAATTGGCAAAACTAGCCGACCATCTCACTGTGAAAAGAGCGCTCATCTGCATGTCTGGGAAGCACATTTTTTGCGCAGCTTTCTTGTATACGCTCCTGCCGGTTGTTCTCACAATAGATCCAAATAGATGGTACAAGTCCATGACAATGGCTTGTGCAAGTTTGAATAGTGGACTTTTCTGTGCCTTCACAACCAAATTCAATTTATGGGCCATACAGACTGAGATTATGAGGTTTTTTCTAGGATACAGATCATCCTCGGTCTCCTCAACAATTGTGTCTTTCAGTTTGGCAAACACTCCCTGAACATGACCGCTCATGACAGCTGCACCGTCGGAAGATAGTGCTAACATTTTTGCATAGCATGCTGTTTGAAGGACTTGCTAGGACCTGGCTCATTGACCCAGCCTTCCATACTCGCAAAAACTCGTAGTAGTGCTTCCACAATGTGAGTTGCAGACTCACTTTTCACTTCAGTAAGAGAGAAATGAAAGGTCATTGGACGGTAATCTGTTGAAAGTGTTCTCAGAAGAAACACTATCCACTTCACTCCTCTGCTTGACGAAGAACCATCTAGAAGCAAAGAAAAGGGTAGATTGTTCTTGACGACGTATTTTACAAGATCGTACTTCATGTGTACAGTACAGCGAATGCAGATATCATTCTACGTGCAGTAGTAGAATCGTGATAAACAGTGACGCCTACAGATCCAGATCTCATCGATATGATTAAAAGTGGGAACTGTTTCGAGAAGGGAAGGCCCTCTTTTGCTATCACATATGCAGCGAATGTGGAAGTTACTGTAGCTGAAATGTCATCTGGAGTTCTCCTTCCAGAAATATCATCGGCTTCTTTTTTGAACTCCTCCATGCATTGGCTATGGTGCGTCGACTTCTCGTGCTTAGATATTCTCTCTATAAGACGACTGACCAGCCTGCGAGGTCTTTCTTCGCCTTGGGTTTGTTGGGCTATTCTTTTCACACAAAGCACGCTGTTTTCCCCAAGCAGATTTGAACCAGTTGAAAAATCGCTCTCAGTTTGGCACTTGCGAAAGGCCTCCTTCGCGTCAAAAGGCGCCGTTGCTTTTCTTTTGCAGAGAGCACATCTGAAAAAGTCAGCGCCGGGATATTCTTCATCTCGGTAATATCGCAAATAATGTTTCCCTTTTAACCATTTGATTTGGTCTGAGTTCAGTTTCTCTTCATTGATCGTTAGCTTCTTCAAGTCTTCTTCGAACTTTTCCGTTTCCAGCAGATCTCTGTACAGCCCAAATTTGCGCCGCAAGTTTTCGTTTTGAAGCTGCTGTTCAAGAATCTGTAACTCACTTTTCTCCTTCATTTCCTCCCGTATAGTAGAGAGCATGCTAGTCGCTTGTTGAGATTCTATCGCCAGAATTTTTTGCTGCTCTCCGAATGCCTTTTGACGAAGTGCAATACTTTGCACCATTTTTAAAAGCTTAGCAACTTTGCTCTCAAGCTTCTCGGAGCGTAGGTCGCTTGCAGCAGCAGACGGGTTAGGGACCACTCCTATGTCACTGGTTCCGGGCATGTCAAAAAAAATCTCCAAATCGTCTAACTGGTGATTGGGCTCGTGGGGAAAGGTAAGATGGGCTGAGTTGCGACGAAATTGTGGTGGATGCTACTCCCGCGGCATCTTCGCGCTGCCTTTCTTGCAAATGTCTTTGAGGATCTGGTCTGATCGGGTCATCTTCATGGCGAACCCATTGATCCAAGAAAATAGTATCCTCGTCATCGCAATTGTTGTCATAACTTGGAGTTTTACTGGTGAGGGCCCACCGGTTGCCACACATCGAAAGGGACCTTTGTGCACTAAACTGTTCGGTATTGAGAATATGAAAGACCATGTCCTTAGAATGTTGTGGCCACATGTTGTCAAGGTAGTTCATCGGTGTCACTTTGCTGACATCATCCGATGGACTAAGCACAACTATATCTACCGCTCTGGATGATATCCATTTCTGTTTGTCTCCTGTGATGACTAAGTTATCTGGATTGTAGTACAAGTTGCCTGATGGCGAGGTTAGTACGTAACTGATGATCGAAGCAAATTCAACTGGATCCTTTCTTTTGAAATTTAAAAGCACAAAAATGTTTGACCTTCGAGGTAGTGATGCTCGCTGTGTATGCGTGGAGCTGGCGTCGATCTACTGCGACCGTAGAATTTTAAAATATCTTGATTCTGGGTAGCATCGGCTACTTGATTGCAATACGGCCAATTGACGAATCTACTGCACGTTGCCATTTTTCTCCTACCAGTGAAGAAATTGAAGTTGATTTTTTTTATTTTCTTGGGGGAAGTGGCCAGGAGAGACGTCGTTATCCCCTTCTGCACTCCCAACCGTAAAAAATGCTTGATATACCCTGCTTGATTTGGGCCACTTTTCGTTGTTGAAGTCCACGAATGTTGTGGATTGAAAGTTACGCTCGTCTCCCATCTGCATTCAACAATGAAGATACTGGCAACGAAATTCGGTAAACTCACCAAGGATGATTTTGTGTTAAGCACTAAGATTCCATAGCTATTTAGTTTCAAATTCTTCATCTAGTCAGCGTTATAGCATTCTTCTCTAACACTCAATTCAATGAACTGCTCCTCATGGGTTGTAGTAAAATGTAGAACCGAGATCTCGTTGAAATGTGGATGACATGGATTTCCAAATGGAGCGGCGACAAGCCAAGGGATAAAGAACAACTTCCACATTCCAGCACACTGCAAATAACACATATAATATATGCTTTTTTAGGTGTATGAGCCCACCATTTCGAATAATGCTACAGCTACTCAACCGCTTTGAAGTGTTTGGGCTGGTCGAATCTAGATCAAATCCCTCGCGGATTATACACCTGAAAATAGGGCTTCAAATTACACTAAGAAAACAGAAAATTCAAAATCCATTTTGATAAGCACATTCGACAACTAACGATGTTTCAATATCTCGGCACTAGGGTATCAACATTCTTTATGCGAAAAAACATACCACCGACCAAAAGAAAAAGTCAGAAGTAAACAAAATGGGAATAAAAATCATAAAAAGTCTAATATGAATTTAATCCGAACTATCGTAAAAATTATTTCGTTGCCGCCACTGAAGTCTCGGGCCTCCAGGTACGTTGTGGTTGTGAGGGGAGTGAGAGCGGTGGTGGCGTCGTCGTTCCTGAGATAAGTTTCTGAGAAATCAAATATAGGAATCTACGAGACATCTGAGTGATGCAAATGAACAAAGAATAAGTGTGATTTTTCAAAACTAACCTGCTCGTTGTTATGCTCGTCCCTCATTTCAGGTTGCACCTGCACTCCAACATCTCTTCTCGGGTGTAGAATGGCTTGTGGCAGACGCGGCAACATTAGCCATACTTGTTCGCTAGCCATAACTGCCGAGGTTGTCCCCACCGGGGAAAAGTCTAGCACGTACGCCCATGGGTACCTGAGCGTCACCCCCCTGTTGAGGTGGTGCACATACAAAGTATGCAGGGGACGACATACTTCATTGTTGCATATGAATTGAAACATTGGACCAATTGGGCAACAATTGGGCCACATTAGATCGTTCTTGGAAGCAGTTCTACGAGCTTATCACTAATTACGATGCCGTGCTTAGGTACAAAGGATCTAGTTGGAAATTGTGAAGTTCATCAATTTTTTACAGGGGGGGGGCTATACGCAGTTTGGAGCTGGTTCGCTATTTTGGAGTAACCCACTCGATGACAGAGTGGGTTTTGGCTTTGAAAGATTTCAAGGCGCTCGGAAAGGAATCAAGTTAGTACCGGCTTCTTCTATCCCATGCATTCTTCCTATCTTGTCAGTCTAGGTTCATCGAGGGGAAGAACCGAGTTGCAAATAGTGTGGTACCTGCTTTGCTACTTGACCGTAAGTAGTCTCCTATCCCTTTCTGCTTCTCCTCCTGCAATCTTCAGGTTGTTTCAGACCGCGTCGTAATGTTTTTCAAAGAACAGAATCTTATGAAGAGTGTGCGCGAAATGCTCGGACCACGTGCCAGAGGCATGCAGAGATTTGATTTCTCTCGCAATACTAATAACCGCATGAACAAAACATGGGTGGAAGTCAATAATTATATCAAGGTAGGAGTTTTTTCATTTCATTTATTTGTTTTTGATGTAGGTCTAATTTATTTTTACCAAGAAATTCATGCACTTTTTGGCCTTTTGTAACAATTTGGTTATTTTGAAACGCAAAAGTCAGCAACGCGCCAGCGCTTGATTTGTTTTGAATTGTTTCAAGGTCTGCGTGTAAATCTTTTTGAAAATGCTACAAATCCGCTTAGTTTCGTAGCAGTAGGAGTCAGCGATCAACCAGTAGGAAAACTGGAAGATCCGTTTCCGGATAGGCAAGCTATGAGTAGATGATTTTTGAATTCTAATCAACAAGTTTGCAGAAGAAGAGGCAAGATAAAACTCGTGGAGAAATATGCGGATCATCATATTAATCCCTATTGGCCGGCTGTAAAGTATCGTAGTCCTAGTTGCGTAGAGTATTTTCCTATGGAAGTGTTGATCGTTGCCCCTCATCAGCGGGTTTCGCTGGAGAAGCAGCAAATTGCGAATTCACTCAGTTACTTTCTTCTTTCTATTTGCAGAAAAAGAGCATTTATGTATTGTTTCAGGTCCCACGTGCTGACAAGCCTGACAAACGTTACGAAAAAATCCATACTTTGCTTGAAGCACTGAATCTTCATAAATCTGGAAGCCTGAATGAGTTCTTGAACGTGTAAGTTGATGTCTGTTCAAGCTCAACATCATACGTGCTGATTTTTTTTTCAAGATTTGGCATAAAAGTAGCTGTGGCACCTAAGGAAGTTGACGGCATCAGGCGTGTTGCTCCTGGAATTGTCTTCGGACATCAGTGTGAACCTGCTATCGATGGCTTCAAGGTTGGTGTAATCTGTCCATGGATTATTAAAATGCACTGTACTTTCAGTACAACTGGCGTCAAGATCGTAATACCCAGTATGTGAATAGCGCTAGTGTTGAGCGCATAATCATTATTCATAGCGACAACACATACCGAGAACCAAAGTATTTCTTATACTCTTTGTATCATTATATCAACCTTATCCCACTTGTTCAGGGAGTTGAGGGCCGCATTGGAGCCAATGTACAGAAATCGTGGAATTAAATATATTCGCTTTGAAGATGTCTACATCAGGAGAGGTAGGGACGAAGACATGGAAAAAGAGTTGGAAGAGGTAAGTGTCCTTGCATTTTGCTATCAATATGTATGTATTATCGTCTACGTATTCAGCTGTTCAAAAAGAATAAGGGATCGAAATCACTGTTGATCACTTAAAGGAGTGTCCGGGCAAAAAGTCGATTTTGAGATTTTGTGCTTACCCGGGCCTATTCGTCATGCTAAATTCGAAAATCTACACCGGAGAGCGCGAAAACAGCAAAAAATGGCTCTCACACAGGATGAAAATTAGGAGGTGGGCGGGGTCTTCCCCACTGTGAATTTACGCTCCAAGCTTACGGAGCGATCTTTTCCACACCGTTAGCCGCCCTGACGTCTCCACCGGCCAAGTGTAAACGCTTGAATTGAAATCGGAAGCGAGAAGATCGCTCCGAAAGCTGGGAGCGTGAATTCACAGTGGGGAGGACCCCGCCCACTTGCTGATTTCGCACCTGTGTTAGAGCCGTTTTTTGCCGTTTTCGCGCTTTCCAGTGTGGATTTTCGGATTCAGCATGGTGAATAGGCCTGTATAAGCACAAAATCTCAAAATCGAGTTTTTGCCCAGACACTGCCTTTAAATAGATAGGGCTGAAAGCAAATCACACGGTAGTCTTTCTGTTTTCAATGTGTGGTGTTTTCATCAGCGATAGTTGCAGAGTTCTTGAAGTTGATGAAACGTAAACACCTGATTCCTACCCTGCTGCAAATGATGTCCTCCCAGAAGCTATGCAGAATGAATGTTCAACTTTTTTCCCTCCCGGTCCCTCTCTTGCTGTTTCTTTTGAAATAAAGATTTATAGAAAAACAGTATTGTGATTTCGCACGTTCAGCGTTCAATATCACTCTTCTGTCAAATATTTGTACATCCACTACAATATAATTTGATTGCAGTTATACTGAAATATGGTGATCGACTCAAATAAGTATACTAACATCAACAACAGCAACGACGTTTGGCTGCCAGCCGATAAAAACGCACTCTTCGCCTTGATCATAATAGTAATCGTGTTAGGTCCCAATTATTATTTTAAAGCAGCCTAAAAAAACATCTTTTTTTCAGTTGCTGTTCATTTACTTCCTGCTCAAACAAAAACTGATATTATGCGGCACACCGTGGACCCCCGAGGCAACACGTCCACGCGTCGAGCAGGCCTAAAAGGCTTAGGAAGATCTCGCGGCATCAGAAGATCTCGCCATGTTCCGATCTCTTTTTGTTGCAATAATAGTTGTTGACATAAACATATGCTGAATGTGAGTTGTGGATCCGTATCCTATCAATCAGTATTTGTTTGATTGCGATGACAATAGAACTAGTAAAACAAACCAGATACTCAAAAGTGAGCTAGTGAGAAACTCATAAGAACTAGATAGTCCTTCCAAAGGCGGGATTTTTGACTTACGCAAATCAAGTCCTTAAGCTGCATTTGTAATGAAGTGCGGTTCATAATTATACGAACACCCAAAATTTTGTAAGTTTCTTGGACTTTTTGGGAGAAACTCAAAAAGCCATTGGTACCACGCGATAGAACACAGCCGAAAACGGTATATGATTCATAAGAATGGAAATCGATGTTAATTGTAGAGTGTTTTTGCACCTAATGCGAATTTTTAGCGGTTCATAATTATACGAACACCTCAAACAAAGGTCCATTTCATTCAAGATTGCAATCGTTTGAGTCCAAATTTTCTGAAGAAGTACAGTAACAAAGTCTGACATATCTGCTACACACTGAACCCAGTGCAGCTCAAAAAGAGGATCGCTACTTTTTTCAGAAGGCTCTAAATGCTTTTGGAGTGATTGCGCTCCAAAAACGTACGTTCTTCTGTGGTTTACGTACTCTAATTAGCTTGTATCAGGGCTTCGAGATAAAATAAGCTCTTTCGGTAGATATTTTGTTTGACGCTTGGAAAATCTTGCGTTTTCGTGCCGTTTTTCAACCAAGTTCCAACCTTAGCACAGAGTTAGCACGATTTCGAGCCTCAAAACTCAGCTTCTCTCTTGCGCAAACATTTGATATGAAGCAGCTGCATTGCTTGCATGATGAAATTTCTGTGCCAAAGCTTTTGGGTTTTTTCTAGAACTGATCTTGCGGCTGTGGAGCTACAAACCAATTAGAGGTGTGATTGCAATAGTAAAAACAGTATTTCTAGTGAAATAACGTCTGCGTGACCAAAACAAACGCTCAACGCTGCTGATTTTTTCTAGCCAATATAAAGTCTTGTAAACTTCTACACACTATATGCTTACTTCATTGTACGGCTTCAGAAGCTGAGGCTTGAAATCGTGCTAACTCTGTGGTAAGGTTGGAACCTATTTGAAAAAGGGCACGAAAACGCAAAGATTTTCTAAGCGTCAAACATAATCGGAAGAGCTTATTTTATCTCATAGGTTTGGTAGAAGCTAATTAAGCGCGTAAACCACAGAAGAATGGATGTTTTTAGAGCGCAATCACTCCAAAAGCATTTATAGCCTTCTGAAAAAAGTAACGGTCCTCTTTTTGAACTGCACTGGGTTCAGTGTATAACAGATATGTCAGACATTGTTACTGTAACTCTACAAAAAAATTTGGACTCAAATGATTGCAATCTTGAATGAAAAATGGACCTTTGTTTGAGGTGTTCGTATAATTATGAACCGCTAAAAATTCGCATTAGGCGCAAAAACACTCCTAATATTGACATAGATTTCCATTCTTATGAATCATATACCGTTTTCGGTGTGTTCTATCGCATGGTACCAACGGCTTTTAAAGTTTCTCCCAAAAGGTCCGAAAACTTACAAAATTTTGGATGTTCGTATAATTATGAACCGCACTTTAGTAGACGACCACATATAGCGAACAATTCTAGACCAGTCTTTCAGAATCTAGCAGTTTCTTCCGCACTTGAGATTTGACAGTCTATGATGTGAGAAAATATCTTCTTTATTAATTTCACTCAACAACTCAGCTCCATTTAAGGGTGAAGCAGTAATTGTATTCAGGATTTGCCAGATTTCATCTTGGCAACTAACTCTATTTGCTCTGTGATTGGTCGTAACAATATGCAAAGCTAGAGTCCTGGAAAGTTGGTTTATTGATGTGTAGCTTCACCATCTAGTTGTACTGTAGGTGTCGATCAAATCTAGTCAACTCCCATCTCATGATATCGTTTATCGAGACACCGATGTTGTCAGAATTACGTCATAAAGATATTATATTTACTCTAGACATGAAATTCACACAGACGGATATGTGCGAAAGGAACGTGATTCGTTTAGGAAGTGCTCTCACATCAACGGGGTAGAAGCTTGTGCATTCGTTGTAGTTGGGAGTTCGGGGGTGGGAGAGGGGGGGATAGGGAATGGGGGGGGGGGGGGTCGTGCCGGGGTCCGGCCCATGGGGGGGGTCGTATCCAACGGTCGTGCCGCACGCCCCGCTTTACCCGTGATCAGCCACCAAGAAAACTCGAAAAACCGGTGCAAGGTAATTTAGCCAAAATCAGCACGCCTGAAAACCTTGCTACACAAATTTTCAGACTTTTTTAAATTATTTCATCAAAAGGCCTATTCACAGGGACACTGTATGCAGAAAGTTCCTACCGTAATCCTACAGTGGTGAAGATTGATTGGTGATTCGCTCCATACTGTAAGTCTAAGTTGAAGCTCGCTCTACAGAATGGTACCTCAAACTCGGCAAAAGACATGAAAGCAAGAGAGTTATTAACAATCAAACAGTGTGCACATCTTTTTGGGACACTCTGTATAAGAACCGAGAGCTGTTTTCTCCCTCCAGTTTCGGAAAAAATTCAAAAGTCTCAAAAAAGGCATTGCGCCTCTTTGAAAAAATCGACAAAGTTATTATCGAATTTTTCAAGAATCCTGGAGAACATTTTTCGTGAAACTCGAGCTCAAAGCCGCTACAGAAGCGACTATAGAATACACAATTAGTGAAACTAAAGTAAGGTTGTAGTTTCTCGTGAAGGTTATCTAGGACAACTTCTGGCAATGTTCGAGCTATTATATTTTTTCTAGTGAAGCTACAACAACACAATAATGCATGCTGAATTGCCAATGTTTTGCTGATTGCAACAGTTTTCATCGCACATAAAAAGGCTATTGTAAAAAGTTATAGTGATTTAAACCCAAAATTTATAAGGGAACTGCATTGATTATGTTAAAAAACCAATGCAACAGATACAAAGTATCTATAGCATAACGCTTTTATTCTGCTCTGGCCCGTTCGAGCGCTTCATTTGATTTTGATTTATTTGCATGTTCAATTTTTGACTCCAAAAACGTTCATAACTGTTGGTCCAGAGACGCAGCAGATACCGAGGACAGGTTTAAAATGAGCATCTTATGCTCATGAAGAGCCACTACTAGAAACATCTCCCTTATCAGCGGGATGCAAAAAGCAAGATTCCGGAGAATGAGATACGATCGTTTGCCGATTTTGACTTTGGCCACCGCGGCCAGGTTCTGAGTGCGACGAAGAATTGCATGGGCGTATAGTAGATCTACCGCTTATTACAATCTTCTTGTGTCGCCGACATTATTTGAAAGAAATGTCATTGCGGCCAAATTTTGATCCAAACAGCATGAGTGGTGGCATAAGAAGCATGACAATAGCCTTCGCGCAAATGTTGTGCTCACCGAAGGGAATACCATATCAACCGCCAACGTAACTACAGCGTCATCACTCTTGGCTAAGAAATCCGAGAATATTGGGCGCTGAGCGTTGAATGCTCGACCTCGTTTACCTCGTCAAAGCCTTAAACCGTCCAAATGATGTGAAGCACAAGCTTATCATTTTGTTGAAGGATGTTCGCCAGCCTTTGCGACTCTCTAAGGCGCCGGTCAGACTTCACGCGACTTAATCGTCGCGATCTAATCGCCAAGATTTCCATTCATTTTCATTTCACATTCAAAAATGTCGGGGTGGAAAAGTATCACAACCGAATGCAAGTTGATCGGCATGGAATGATGTTGTAACAGTTGTCTCGTCGCGACTCAGTCGCGACGATCAAATCGCGTGAAGTCTGCCCGGGGCCTAATGTACATGTACGACAGTGGCGGTGCCAGGATTTCCGTCCGCGTGGGGGAGTGGGAGGGGAGTGGGGTGGGAGGGGAGGAGAGGGTGGGAGGGGGGGGGGAATTTTTCATCGAAGGTGAGTGGCATTAACCGAGCATTCTAAAAAAAATTTTGAGGTGCTTCTCAAAATTTTTGCGGGCATATAACTCCTAGTATCTAGAAAAAGGGGTTTAGCAAAAGCCACGCCCCCGTTGCGGCTCAAACAAAAATGCGCTGCTGTTCAATGTGTTCTTAGTACAGGGTGGTAGAAACACTTTAGAATCAGACAGTGTGAAAACAAGAACTTCGAAGCGTCAATATGAAGCTCAGTTTGAAGCCGCGTCCCCTCCCCGGCAGGGATGCATGCATTCGGTTTTCAGAATTTCCACCTCTCATTCCATTTTCATATGTGCATACAATGCTATATTTATACAACTTTAGCGTGCGCTGCGTTTGCGTCGCGGAAACAGTTATGGAAAGGTAGCCGGGAGTCGCGCTGTGAACTAATCGGTTACATGTCAGGAGTTGCACAGCTCCGCTTTGTCGCCCAAGCCGCACCGAAATTTTGTGTCCGCAACAATTCCGGTGCTAAAGTTGCATGGCGTCAAACTAGGAAGGTGAGGATAGAGACACATACGTGACTCGGTACTATAGGTACCTTTATGCCAGGAAGCTTTCGAAAGCTGGCTTTTGAATTGGTTAGGGTTGCGATGAGGCAACGATTCGCGAATTTTGCGCAGACTGTGAGTTACAAACAGTTCTTTGACTATGCACATGACCTATCCTTTGCTTCAACCGGATCGGCGGCTGGAAGGCGGAGCTCCGTGACCTAGTTAAGGCTAGAAGATGATCAGAGAGCATGTTCGCGGGAAGGCGCATATGCGTCGCGACGCGAGCGGCCGCCTCCTAGGTCATGAAGCTCCGCCTTCCAGCAGCGATCGGCTTGAAACAAAGGGTACAGTGACTTCCAAGCCGTTTTACTTAAGGATAGCGAATGCGGAGACACCGCTTTTTTGCAATTTGTGAAGTTGCGACACCGAAGCTGACATCAAGTCCACCAGCATCATTTTAGCGCACCTTATGTGCATAAAAAAGAGATTTTTCAAGTTATGGATAATGCTTGTATGAAACGAACGCAAAATTTACCACTGGTTCTATAGAAGTGTTGCCGTCAGATGAGGAATACACCAATCAACAACTATTTATTTTCATCGTCAAGATTGGCTGACAATCACTTTACTTCTTTCTGCTTGAGTCCTTATCAAGTGATTTGCTCAATATACTCGCACTACGCTGTGTCTCCTTTGACATTTTCTTTCCAGACAATTTCGAAGAGGACTTGACTTCAGTCTCTCTAGCGCTTGCTGGTATGGAACCGTGTAGGGGCGTGCACGATGGTTCAGAGGGTGTACTTCGCAAACCTCCTACTCTCATTTCTTCCTTTTTCCGCATCAACCTCGCTGACCTTGCTGATCTCAATGGTTCGCTTCTTTTACTCTTTCCAACACCTTCTTTACTCTTCTTTTTCTTTTTTTCCTTCTCCTCTGTAGCATCCTGCGTGACGTCATCGATGAAGAATGGGTCAAGTATTTCCGAAGGTCTAGCGTCCGCATCTCTATGGTGATAATCGCTTTCTATTGCACTGCTCTTAAACGTATCTATATTTGGTGCACCCACTGCCATATCCAGCTCGACGTCCACTTCTTTGTTCTCCTTCTCAGCAACATGCACCTAAAAAGGAGGTTAGAGTAAGGACACTTTATCCGGCTTTTGGGGCTAACCGGTGGTGGCAGAATGTTCGGGAAGTCCTTGTCCCAAGCTGGTCTGAGATATTTCTCTTCTAATTTAGTGTCCTCTTCAATATAGCTCGTTGGCTCGGAAGCAGTCTTCTTCTTCTTTTTCATGCGTGAACATTGTAGAAGAATCCGAAGGCACAGAAGTGATATTATCAATGTCTGGAACACACAACTGAGCGTGATCAACACACTGAGCAGCTCAACTTGCCTTAAGAATGATGTAACTGACTGTAATCATCTTGAGCAACCGCTCAGCTTGATGAATATACTAGAAACTGGAAAATAACCCTACCCCATCAGTGAGTTGGTGAATAAGCAGTGCTTGTTTGGATTATCATCATTTTGATTGGCACAGCAAAGTTGGTGACGACTTATTGCCATTCCAGTACTGGAAGCAAGTGGATGCAAATCCGACATGCTTCTTGCACAAATAGAGGTCTTTCGATATAGTCGATGGGAACGTTTAGCCGCTTGGTCAAAATTACATCATGAGATTTCTGTGTGAAAATAAACTCTGACATTCATAACAAACTATAAAGATGGTCCGAGTAGTAAGGCACTCACAGGATTGATAATTCGCAAGTGAAGAAGATGATTGGATGCTCTATATTTGTCAGGCTTCAAAACACATGAAAACCTTCCGATCGAATTTTATTTGATGCCCTATGAAGCCGAGGACATTAGGTCGCCATTTGGCAGGTTTGTCCATGTCCGCGGACCTCCCTATTCGGCAGTCTAGTGTCCTCTACCTCTACCGTTATGCTTGTTGGACAAAGTTAGTAGTCTCAAGCGATTACAAACTTTAAGCAGTAGACCAGGTAAACCATCTTTTTTTTTCTCTTTTCAGCAGTTGCGTTTTTGAATGAAGTAGATACTTATGTGGTCACAAAAAACTCCTCGAAATTTCAAAACCATGGTTCACTATATTCTATTTCGGCATTATTTTAAAATCAAAACTATCATTTCAGACGTTTGTAAGAGCTTTCAACAGATGGATAGATTGAATGAAGTGTAGTGTGCATTTTTTCGCATCTTTATTTATCTATCCAGATGATTTTTGCAAAACTCTTCTCTCTTGCAAAATCTCGAAATGCACAAACGCTTTGAACACCAGTAAATCTTCGCAGTTTAGAACTTGAAACAATCTATGATTCAACGCCAGTTTTTCGAGGCATCCAAGCAATTACCGCCATATTAAGTTTTTGACCTGAGGATACTCTGTAGAGCATGGAAGAGCGCCGTCAGTTTCAACAATGTGTGCAGGGAACATTTTGGGACAGCAGTGCTATCTGTGCAGATATTATGCATTTGATGTATCATCTCCTTTTCTTCGCAGGTAAACGCCTCGCTCTGGGGTCACGGTAGGTATACGGTAGAAAAACAAATCCACGCTGGTTGAAACTTGGCCCAGGAGGTTATCTGATATGCTAATCACGAATATCACATTTTCTCCGCAGAAAAATATATCAAAGTCCCTTGTTTGCTATTTGCTCTATATTAATCGGCTTTCTGATTGTGCGCATCACCTGTTGTTAGTGGAAGAGGGTGATACTTCTAGCTCGTAAATTTCATAAAGCAACAGTGTGCATTTTTGCAAGCCTGGCGCCCATACTCGGACCCGCAAATTTTACAAAACATTGTCCTGGCACTGCGTGATCTCCAAGCCACGCGTATTTTAATCGATAGCTATGGCGGTTTTCCGTGCAATCGATCTCCGTCGTCTTGGAATTGAGAGACTTCACGCTTGTCGAAATATTCGATTAGATAAGATAAACGACGTTGCCTTTGAGGATTGTCTCAAATAAGTCAGTTGCACTTCTAGCCATGCCTAGATCTTCTACATATGGGCACCCAATGATGCTCAATTCGGAGCGCAGGCTCTGGTACTGCTACAAGAGGGATTGCCGTCGCAGGACTAGAGAAAAACCCAAACCGAGCGTGAGTGTGACGCACAGCTCGTTCTTCTCCACGTGCAAGCATCCCCCCCCCTGGCAAGATCTTCGCCTTGTCGTATTTCTGGCTGCACAACCCCGCGACCAAGGACAAGGAGTACGGGCTCGGCATAGGACACGATGGTATCGTCTTATGGGTACAATACTTTCGGGACGTCTGTTGCGAGCGCCTCCGACGAAACCGTCGTGTACTAGGAGGATTTGACACACTGTCGAGAAAGACGAGACATGTGTAACCAAGAGGAAGTACAACCGTGGCCGCTTTGTGCGCGTGCATCAGTGGCTCTTCGGAGGCTACGAAAGAGGAAGTGGAAGATCATTCCTCAAACTCGTACGTCAACGCGACGCGCAGACCCTCCTCCGCCTGATCGTTAGGATCCGACCCGGCACAACCATCATCAGCGATTGCTGGCAAGCCTACAATCGCATCGCTGCCTTACCACACGGTTACATGCACGTGACTGTGAACCACAAACTGAACATTGTGGATCCAAGGACACACACTCAGAACATAGAAAACCACTGGGAAAAATTCAAAAGGATGGTGAAGCAAAAATGCGGAATCAATAACAGGCACTACGCAGACTACCTGATGTAGTTCATGTGGAGACGGGAGGGCAAGCGTGAAGATTCTCTCTACAACTTCTAGAGGCAGGTAGCCGAGCTGTATCCGGTTGATTGCTGACTGACATACGCTATCCCAACGGCACTCTCTATGGCTACCATTACAACTCCTTTGACGGTGTAGTAATAGTAATAAGTACCTTCACGCTTTTCAGGTCAATTTAGGTCCAGAAAAACCACTAAAAATCTCATCAGGCAGAAGGAGTATCAGTTCTTCATGATCAGCGTATCAGAGAACCCCCTTGGCCAAATTTTAGCCAATTTCGTGAATTTGACCTCCTACTGTACACTTACCGTATTCCAGCAGGGAGGCGTTTTCCTGCGAAGAAAATGTGATATTCGTAATCAGCGTATCAGATAACCCCCTGGGCCAAGTTTGAGTTAAATCCACGACTGAAAAGTTCGGGGCCCGGATAGCCGAATAGCGCCAAATGTCCCAATGATGTCCCCATCCTTTGAAAATGTTTCAAAGATTCTTATTTCTTCCAGAAATCTGAAGGCGCATTTAAAAGTATATCACTGGGTGAGGTAAAGCAGTGTGAATTGAGTGACTATCGAATTTCCTGGCAAAACACCCCCACAGAGCTGTTGAACCGTTCGGCTACGCCATATGGATGTCTTGGGTGCAATTGCGGTATAGTATGTAAATGTACGTCATTCATTTCGAATTGGCCGCAATTTCTCACGTTTGATAGGTGCCAGAGTAAGCGAATATTTTGTTCAGCTTCGTTCAGCTGCAAAAGGCGCACAGAATTAACGTTGATTCTGCGCGGGACCCGCAGCTGAAGCAGGCCTTGGCAGCAGTAGAGATTATGCAGCAGACATTAATTCTGCGCGCCTTTTGCAGCTGAACGAAGCTGAACGAAATATTCGCTTACTCTGGCACCTACCTTTGCGGTGTCTTCGTTTTTTCTTAACGTTTTTGAGAGTGCTTAGTAACTTGTTTCAGAAGTTGTGCTATAGTATACTGTAGATATTCTCAAACATGGGATGGAAAGACAAGGAACGAAAGAAGCTTGAGGGAAAACGTTTCCTTGTGATTGGCGCTGGAGGAATAGGATGCGAGTTGTTGAAGAATATCGCATTGACGGGTTTCACTGATATTCATGTGGTGAGAAATTTTCCAGTTCAGTCTTTAGCGCAACATCACTTTCTACTTCGTATCTGTGTGTCTTTTCCTGTGTGATGTGCTTTTTTCAGATCGACATGGACACCATTGATGTTAGTAATCTAAACAGGCAGTTTCTTTTCCGCCGGGAGCACGTTGGAAAATCAAAAGCTGAAGTAGCTACCCAGGCAATCAAAAGAATGTGTCCTGATATCAAAATTTCTTTTGATCTGGATAATATATTTAGGTCTGTAAGTTTATTGATAAGTAGTAGAGTTTTTCATGGTTACTTTTGTTACTTTCAGCTCGAAATTCAACATTCCATTCTTCCAACAATTTTTCTTAGTCATGAATGCCCTGGATAATAGAGGTGAGTGTATTTTGTAAATCTGAAGTTTTATAATGTCGAGCTCGCTGCATGAACTTCCAGCCATAAAGTAAAATTTTGTTTTCAGCCGCTCGAAATCACGTAAACAGGATGTGTCTTGCAGCAAAAGTTCCTCTGATAGAAAGTGGTTCATCCGGATATCTTGGACAGGTAAGCATAGTTTCATTTTGTCATAGTTTGCCATTCTTCTGTTGTTGTGAACTTGCCAAAAAAACTTCCTCCTTTGACCTCGTATCGAGGTTTTTCTGTCCAAGTCGCTTAGTAGCGAAATATTGTCCATACCAGCTCAACCCATCCCTCTTCATTATAACATCTAGATGTTGAGTGCTCGCATTGACCAGATGGGAATTTTGTTTCGTTTGTGTTTTTACTTACGAATCCTCCCCAAAAAGACCTTTTCAAGTTATCGAATGAAACTAAATCTGTTCTGTGCTTAGATCTTGTACGTGCAGATTCAGCAGATCATGCAAATTACTTCTTTTATGCTGCAAACTGTTGTACTAAGCGGAAAATTTTTGCGTCTTTTGTGTTTATTGAAGAACGTTCGTTTTTCAATGGTTAACCCTAGCTCCAGATCTTCTGAAGAAAACTCCGATCCCGCTTTTCGTTTGCTGACTCATATCAAGTCCTCTGAACGCATTCTACTCCATAATTAAAGGACCGCTGATTGCATACTAGAGCAAACGTAAGGCAGCGCCATACTTAATTTACCTGATCCCTTGATCCACTTCATCCAATCCGCTATTGGTGAGTTTACTGATTTGACCAATAGCGAAATGGATAAGTGGATCAACATTAACTGAATCAAGTATGGCGGTGCCTAGACGAAGCAGTTTCTGCTTATATGTTCTCCGTTTGTTGAAGGCATTTTATGATCCTTTTCAGGTGCGCTCTATCATCCGTGATCGTACTGAATGCTATGAATGTGTGCCGAAACCTGCACAAGAAAAAACATTCCCTGGATGTACCATTCGCAATACACCAAGCGAACATATACACTGCACAGTATGGTCAAAACATGCCTTCAAGTAAGTCGCCCTTCAACTTCAACTTCTGGGTGTTAGTATTCGCATTTTTTGTGATTGTTGTATTCCAGCCAACTCTTCGGCGAGCTAGATATAGACGATGACATCTCTCCTGATCTCACCGACACAGGAGAGCGCACGGATGCTTCAGACACGCAAATGGAAACTTCACACAGTGAAGCTTTAGACGCGCAATTAGATGGCAATGCTGACGGCGCAGGAAACTCTGAGGAGAATAAACAGGAAAATTCGGCAGAAAAGCAAGAAATTTTGGCAAATGGCACAGCCCATTCCGACGTTAAGAATGGCGATTCGAAGGAGCTTGATGAGGAAGCAAAACCGCTTAGTACACGACTTTGGGCTGAAAATGTTAAGTATGATCCGGAGAAGATCTTTGACAAGGTAAATCACCTTTTGAGGTTCATTATGCTATTAATAACTAATCCGCTTCAGTTGTTCAATGACGATATTGTCTACCTCCTTCGCATGGAGCATCTATGGCGTGAAAGGCGTGCTCCCGTACCCATCAAGAAAGCTGATGCAGTGTCTGAGAGTGTTTCGTCGTCATCAAACGCTGCAACATCCACTAATGATGTCAATAAGGTAGTGTTCATGTTTTTTGTATCATTTTGCTTTTTTTGGTTACAATTTATGAATTCTTTTTCTTTTTACTCACCATCTTATTTCTATTCTTTTTGAACTTTTACAGTTCTTTTTCGAACGGGATGACGCTCTGTCTTTATTCTTTTTACATTAAAATCTAAAAATTGTCTGCCATTAGATGAATCACAGTATCAAAGTGAGTCACATTGCTTAACTATCTAGGTGCCAGCGTTTGGCCGCTTTTCGGTTTCGTCTTTGAATTCTGATTTTTGTCTCTAATGCCTTTGTTGGGCTCCCTTTAGAAATCTTTGCTCAGTAGGTCTTTTTTTTTCAATGAAATAGGGTCCATTTAGGTTTGGTCAATTGCTGAGTGTGCAGATGTTTTTTGCGAAAGTGTTGCCGCCCTGAGTAAACGTAAGAGTGAACTCAAAGGAAATTCCATACTTTCTTGGGATAAGGATGATGACGATGCCATGCGTTTTGTGGCATCGTGTGCAAATATCCGAGCTACAATTTTTGGCATCCCACGTAAATCCCTGTTCGAAATCAAATGTAAGTTGTGGTATACTGTTTAATTCAGTTTCATTTACTTGTTTTATTTGTGTGAGGTTTTTTTTTTCATATAATATATTTATCCCATTTAGCCATGGCTGGTAATATCATTCCTGCTATTGCCACAACCAACGCTATCGTAGCTGGCATGGTGGTCGTCGAAGCTTTGAAGATATTATCTGGCGAGCTTGACAAGCTCAGAACAGTGTTCATCAAACGCGCACCGAATCCTAGAGGGAAGGTTGGTTGTTTGTTTTTCTTTGTTGAGCTTTCATAATATGAATTTTTTTCTAGATTTTGGTAGATCAAGTACCATTTGAACCTAATCCGAATTGCTTTGTGTGTTCTGCCAAGCGTGAGTGTCACATCAAAATGAACCCAGAGCAAATGACCGTGAAAACTTTGCAAGACAAGGTTTGTTTGCATTTCTTCGGTTTGAATGTTTCTTTACGTTTTCCTTTTTCTTATCTGTAGCACTTTTCCGTGTTAGTGTTAATCTTGACTCCACTGCATCTGCGTTTCAGGTGTTGAAAGGAGCATTGAATATGGCCGCACCTGATGTCATGGAGGCAACGACCTCTCGCATCGTTATAAGTAGTGAGGAGGGAGAGACTGCGGGTATGTTCCGAGATTATTTTCTGCTAACTTCTAGAATTTCCCACGCGTTTCAGATCTCGAAGATAAAACATTATCCGAACTGTCTATTGCGAATGGAGCCATGTTGATGTGTGATGATTTCCAGCAGAAGTTAGAGCTGAAGCTGATCCTGCATGAGAGTAAATCTATGAAGGGTGACGAGTTTGAAGTAAGTGTGATGATATTTAGTAAGATTCATTCTGCGTCATCCGGCTTATCTTTACATGTATAGATCTTCCAAGACAGCGGAGAAGTCAAGGAGAATGATGAGGAATCGCGAAAGAGAAAGAGCATGGCATCTCCGGAAGTGAACGAAGAAGAAGTACCAGCTAAGCGCGTCAAACTCTAAGGTGTGCGAAAATCTGTTTGGAGAAAAGTCTCAGATATCGGAGTGGATTTTTTTAATTGTAACTCGTCGTAATATGGCGAGAATTTGGGATTTGATCTGTATCAGTTCATTTTCTTAACTCTTTTCTCTGATAGTTTGGAGTTTTCGAAATGTCTCCATAGCCCTCTCCATCCTCTTGTCCTTCTATCGAAGGAGCACAGAATGCTGCATCGAAGTACCACCATCGCATCAATTGGAAACAACTGGTTTTTGTAAGTAAATGGATTTTTATTTTTAGTACTACAATGATCCTCATATGTGTTTGTTTCAATCTAGAAGCACACATTGTATACCCCGGTTTGTTAGGTTGTTGCATTTTATCGTATCTGCGTTTTTTATGATGTTATCCTTTGTCACCATAAAATTATTTGAATCTACTTTACTGTGGTTTTGTAGATTGGAGAGGGGGGGGGGGGGCAGAAGCTTAGCATTTCAGTGGCGGAAGCCTCGCTTTGCGTGGGCGGAAGCTTACTTTTCGTGGAGCTGTCTCATTCTCTAAGGATCCGAGCATTTTCTTTATATTCCATTGGTTTTCCCTATAGGTGTGACTTGCGCAGTCATCGTAGAGGTTGACGTTCTATTCTACACTCTACTGAAGAGAGGAACCGGTCTATATCTACATATATAATGATTGTGAGACCTGTTATAAAACGTCGCACCCTCGAAAAATTGCATACTAGCTCCACTGCTGCATACCAAATCATTGGCACGTCTCCACTGAGGTTCTCATTCGCTGAAGAAAATGAAGAAAGTCTCTTTTATCTTTTTGTTTTGCAATGTGACATTGTTCCCTCTCCCGTCAATAATGAGAGATTTGCTTGATGTCTCATCACACGCGATTTATACACATAGTACACATTGCAGTAATTTACGTGTAACATGCATAGGTCATTCTTAAAGGCACCGTCCACCCTAAGTTAGGGGTCTTGGGCTTTTGGCAGCTAACGATGGTAGGCGGCTTGCGCGTTCTCCGGAATGGGGGTAGTTTTTGCGCATTCTCGACTTCATATTCGGAATTAGGGACTCGAAGGTCCGGAAACGACCAAAAAGAAGTCGAGAATCTGGGTAGAAGGTGCCTTTAAACGTACTGATTTGACCGCGATCTTTGCGCTCACATGAGTATAAATCACTCATACAAAAAGCATTAAATCAGCACTCACAGTCATTTACAGTGTCTAATTACTATTATACGTAGCAGAAAAACCATGCGAGTAGAGATGAAAACTGAGGAAATGCAATTACCGGAAGCGCGTGCCATGTCGCGCGCCGCCATCGTCACGTTTTTCCGATACCGCATAAGCAGAAACTCCTTTTCAGTTTGAAAGTTCGGTAGTGTTTCCCTCAATACTTGAGCCTGTAGCTGAGGTCCTACCCTCTGTGATGCAAGCTCCGATTTCGAACAAACATGTGGGAAAGCTTGGCTAAATTCACCGTATTTCTGCAGAAGTATCCATCACAGCGGCGTACATTCAAAAATTTTTCTCTCAAAAATCCTGGACACTCGCCAAAGAAACCCACATTCTGTAAAAGTTCTTCTTTGTTTAGTTTGTACAGGGAGATTTGCCATTCCGTTTGGAACTTTGTAACTTCTTCCAGTTCTAAGGAGTTGTTTGACTAGAAGACTGGTTGACCAAAAATGTTGGCGCTGTAGGACTCTGCCGATGCAAGCAGAACTTTTGCACTAATTTACACCTTCAGTAGATTGGAAACATGATGAATGAATGTAAACCGCATTGATGTTGCTTTCCATTGTTATTGTCATATCAGAGGGCGGAAAGTGAAATGAACAGAAACACGTTCTGTGCATATGCAGCGGATAACAGCTGTAGTCGCCATTGTTCTGTGGCAGTCGTGCGAAGTACTCTCTTCCCTCAAATCTTAGAGAATTTTATTCTGTTACCGTTTTTGTACTTCTGATGTTACCTTGAACTTTGACCGCGCTTTTATTGGCAAAGGTCCACTGCCGTGAAGTGTTGATCAGAAAAATCGGATTTTTAACCCAGCCAAGATAGTCACTTCCTTGCAGAATATCAAAAATCTGGATTTTTCCTCTAGTTATAGAATTTGCTGAATAGTATCCAAGGACGGTAAATATGGATTTTGGACATCATCCGGTGCTTATAATTCCCTTTTAAAGAGACTCGATAGACTGTTGAAATAAAGATCTCAATGGGGTTTCTGAGATTTTTGGAGTTTCGTGCATATTTCGAGTTTTTTATGAACAAGCACTTCACTTCAAATGACCATTTAAGGCGTTGTGGGTTAATTTGATTGCCTTTTCTAAATTACTGCAATGAGTGCGCACTTACGCGGTTCCTTCTTCCTTCTACAGTGAAATCCTCATTATGTGATCCTTTCACGGTGATGTATAGAGATAGTGATATTTATGAGTGATAGTTTCGTATTTACCAAAACCGCGGTTGAAATTTCTTTTAATAAAGGAGATAGGAATGTATTCTATCATATGACTCGCTCTCCACAATTGTAATGTTTGGGCATTTTCACATTTCTGTTGTTCAGCCTCAAACTCAGCTTTATACAGGGTGTCCCCAAAGTATGTACACACTGTTTGATCGTTAATATCTCTCTTCCAAAGAAGTCTTTGGCCTGATTTCAGCTACCGTTTTGTAGAACTGGCTTCAACTTAGATTTACAGTATGGAGCGGACCATCGATCGCTTTTCAGTAGGTAAGATAACGGTAGGAACATTTGTCTTGCAGCGTTATTGTAAATTAATCGTGTTTGAAAGAAAGTTTCTAAATTGAGAAGTGGGATTGTCACGATTTCAGCATTGCCACGCAAATTACGCGCGCTGGTTCCATTACTTAATTTTTCAAAAGTTTGTAAAGCTTTTCAAATGGTGTAATCACAATTTTAAGGAGTGTTATAACTACAGCTATTTCGGTTTACCTCGCATAAGTTATGAAGGAAGCATTTTGGTAAATTGCAAAATTCATTAGTTCTAGCTACTTTAAGTAGCCTAATGTCAAAGTTTCTAGGTCATTTGGTTTGCTTGAGGCGAAATAGGGCTAATGGCTCAAAGTCCTCCTTGGAGTTCCTACCGTAATCCTACTGTAATGAAAAGCAGACCACTGCGACTCAGCCATATCTTTTTATGCGGATAGCGGTTTTCGTTGTTTGTTCAGCACTAGGTCCATCAATGATAGTCGAACATTGGTCATCAATGCGCGAACCAACAAATATTTATCATAAAACAGATACAGAACATTAGTGATATATAACCATATATGAATACCTCTGCGAACATGTGAGTATCAACAACAATGCCAAGCAAATGAGATTATTCGACATGCGCATGACCAAGGCGACGAGATTCACGTTGTGCAAGTGACATGTTCATACTTGTAAATGACTAGAATAAGTTGTGGAATTTTCTAAATATTAGTATTCGCCTTGCAAAAACTTTTGGGAGGCGCGGCTGCCGTCACACTCCTCCTTCCCAGGTCATGGTCCGCAGGCCCGCAATATATTTGGGAAGCATCTCAGAAAGTTTTTCGGAATTCATGGCTAACGTCATGCACCTTTACTCGAAAAAAATTTCGTTCTCTTCATGATGTAGGCTGAGCCTTTCTGCGACATTGTTTTTCTAGGAAAACGGAAATCAGTGAGGATTTTATATAAATTAAATCGGACCATTCTATGTTATAAAAGGGTTCAAACAAAATTTTTACCCCTATTGCGCACCGATTGACCTCGCTAAAACCGGAAGCTGAAACGGCGGGAGTGGTGCAGTCAAGCTAGTTCAATTTGCCAGAGAGTATATAAGATCATTTCTTATCTTCATTCTTTATTTTTTACTGTATTTCTTCTATCACATAGCTGACGAATAGTGCATAGAATGTTAAATTCACCCAGAGACACTGACAGCACTGCAGCTTGCATCTCTTTGATATTAATTTTGCACTCAAGCCCTGAGTTTAAACGAATATGTTTTATTACAAAAAAAAGTCTGATTAGTATCTATAAGAATTGATACAACTTACCCAAGGACAAATTTCACAGGTCTACAGCTCGTAAAAAATTAATTTTCAGGATCCTCCATGATCTTTAGAAGATTTTGTGTTAAAGACACGACTCCGATTAAAAAGTGCTCTGAATATAAATGTAGTCCTTCGTGGCATCTCTGTGACACACATTCTTCCTAGAATGTGGAAAATTCGAAATCATTCCAATCGAAATTGCAGCGTAATTGCTTTGTTCTACAGTATTATAAGACCCTCCCCAAGAAATTATCTCAAAAAAATTATTTATAGGCTCTACATTTTCTGGACGCGATTGGCTAATTCCAGTAGTGTAACCGTCCCCAGTTCTTTTTTCCACATCCTCTACCGAAATGTTTCTGCAAGTGCTGAGCTGCATAGTTAAGTGTAATATACATAGTCTATAAGTTCTCATACTATTACAAAGTAGTAGTGTTTACCGCAAAGGTTTGCTTGTGTGAAACTGTGTAAAAATCACGAGTTTGTGAAAAGGAGGCGCTAGGTGCCGACCATAATTCTTTCAACCAAACAATTTATCGATACTACAGGTAAGTGTCCTACTAGTATAACAGTTTGCTCTTCTTAACTATGTATTTCTTTCACTGTGGTCACATATGACTATAGTCTGCCTTCTTAATGAAGTGAGTATGAAAAGCATCGATTTCGAGATCAAGGTTACAATAACTAGTCTTCTCATGAGATTTTGCATTTAGCATGTATGGCTCTTTCTACAGCTGAATTAATTCATAAAAACTCAATGTGAGTACCTATACGGAATGTCCGGAAAGTATCAAGTACTTCGAATGCAATTTTTGCGCTTTCCTTATTTTTTGCATTTGCTGAACGAAGAGACCAACCACTGTAAAACAAAGAAGAAATTTTTCTGTTGGATTGAAATCTGAAAGCACCGATTTTCTCGGTTTCTTGAAGACGCGGAAAAGTGTGTTATACGATGTACTTGTTTTTTTAGCCTGGAAAACGCAAATAACTTTACGTTTTCTTACTATGGAATGTCTTAAGTTTCCTCTCTGCATACAACAAAAGTAGTATAGTGGCTTGCAATCAAGTTTTTATTACAAAAGCAGGAAGCAAAAGAACAAAAGAACATGCAAACAACCGTGAAAAAGTACTTTGAAATTTTTCAATTCAAAATTTTTTTTGGAAGTCTTGTTCTGTTGTTGTAGCTATGGGCTACCACTGCGCATGTTTTTGAGAACCTTGCACTCTTTTGAATCTCCATAAAAAGTCATTTCTTCAAAAAAAACCTTGAAGCTGGATCTCTTGTCTTTCAAAGCACGGTATCTTGAACAAACTCTGTCTTATTGAAACTAAAACGCAAGCATAATTTGAAAATTCCATGTTAAAAATGGCTTATTTTTTGTAGCAACATTTCAAGAAAAAGGTGTGAAAAGCTGCACTGACTGTTTTCCAGCCAAATAAAAGTCTGAAGAAACCGCAGACAAACTTGTTTTTGTTAATCTGATGTACTCTAGGTCAAGCTCAATAGAACAAAAAGAGAGCGTCAAAATATGAGCTCTAGTGGCTAGAAACTTTCCAATCACCAGTTTAATGCTAAGAACCCTTTGAAGTAGCATCTCTAAGATAACGAAAAGGGTGTAGATTTGTAAACTGTATGATGAAGTAGTATGACCTATCTATGGTATTTGGTGACAAGCAGGGACGACAACAAACCTGATCGTTTTGCTAATGTGATTCGCCTCGACATCGCCAGCAATTTCACTGAAATTTCTGCGAAGTCAATGCTTTGACCTGCGCAAGACTCATCGTCAACCTCGACATTAATATATTCTCCACTTCGTGTTAGGAGTTAATACGTTAATATGAATTTCCTTCATCTTAGAACAGGCCAAGAAGCTGATGTGGCTGTAAACATAGAAATATCAACGAAAATGATGCAGTTATCCTCAGTTTCACTTTTTTAATGATTAAAATATTAGTTGTCCCAAAAGTAAAGTCCTTTTCTAAATAAATCAAGCTGTTTCTGTAAAGTATGATTTGAAAGGATCTATAAAATCGCCACCTAAGTTTGACGCCAAAATCAAAAAACATTTACCACCAAAAAACTGGATTTTTGCGAGAAAAAACTCTACGGACCTCAAACTTGGTCATCATATAGTAGACACATAGTAGTAGTACGCAAATGTGCCTTTATTTGTTTTTTTTTAATTAGTTTTTTTTCCGCGCAAAGAAAGCGAGAAAAAAGAGTCCAAATTTGGCAAACCCCGCCCCCAGTTCCATGTATGTCATCGGATACTATAATCCTTAGTAAGTATGACCATAAAATTTTACTTCTGCTTGTGCTTTGGTAGTCGAGAAATATCAGGTTCAACATAAAAACCCAAAAAAAGTGACGTTTTTGCATTTTCGAGCCAGTTCAATTTCGCAATTTTGCGCCCCGGAGAAATCCATCAAATACATTTCTGGGTGTTATCTGTATAATGACCAAGTTGAAGATCCGCAGAAAATTTCTGAAAAGAGATCTGATGTTGAGGATGCCTGAAAAATTTTGACTTTAGCTCCAAATTCTACCTGGATGACGACTTGGGCGGTTTGATGGCCATTTTGTAGAGCTTGCTTTGCCCTATGGAATGGTTCCCTAAGTTTGCCAGAAAAACGAAAACAGAAAGAGATCCAGAAAAGGAGTTACTTTTGGAACAGCCTATTATTATCTGTCAATTCAATGAATTGGCTAACCTCCAAGTTTTCGTAATCACTCGATAAACCTACAATCGTTTTGACAACATCTTTCAAGGTTGCTTAGCGTTTTCCATGGAGAAGACTATTTGTCACGAGATTACTGCCCGTAAACATCCTTTTGGTAGCTAATGAAGATATTTTGAGCGTATTTGTAGCTTGTATAAGCCCGATCTCTGCGCGAGAATGATTACAACCCATGCATGACGGTTTGTTTTGGTGTAATGAGCTAAATCCTATCAAACGACTGTGCGTTGGCTTCCGCGTGCTATCGCTATTCTTCGCTCTTTGGCTATATATGTACAGTGACAACTGCTTTTGCTGTACATGCTGCAGAAGTAGAGTATATATCTTTCTGCAATGTTCTTTAGTTCTTCCTTTTTTTGCAAAACTGAAGAAACAAGGGTGATTATACATAATTTCTAGTTTTTTTAGCAACACGATGAGTAAAGTAACTCAATTTCTTTATTTTTTATTGTTTTTATCTTAGAGAGACTTTAGTAATTTTGAGAGTTAGTACCTATTCTTGAATTTCTAGCTTTGAAAATGCTTTGAGTGTCTGATTCGTGCTTGAAGAATTTTTTCTGAGAACAAAGGGGTTGAAAGAGTAAAAATACTGTTACTGTATACTATGTACTGTACTGTGTACTGTTTTCAGCTGCGTGTTGGTGATTACGGTTGAATGAAGACAGGTATTAATTAGTGAAAATGGTTTTTTTTGGAAGAATCGGTAACAGTATGTAAGTAAAAAAATTTCTGCTGGAATGTCATCTATACTTTTTTCGTTTTCAAAAAAAAATTATATCGGTTGCAGCGTATCCTACAGCTCATCGTTTGCTTGTAGCTATCAAAACCTGATGTATTAAGCTTAAACACGAACCATCATTTCAAAAATTCACTTAGATCTGACTATTTAGAACAGTCGCGGTTTGAGCAGTTCAATGATCACGCATTGATTCATCATTAGTTGTGGTCAAAGAGAAAAGATTTGATCTACTAAACAGCAGTCCATTTACCTTGATCTACCGAAATTAGATTGGCGCGAATCATTTACGCTATATAGCTAGCCAGCGCAATATTGATGTAATGTCGAATTATTATAATTATTCATAACTTTAACTGCGAGAGGAGTTCTCTTACAGAATATTTTCTTCTTTCAACTCATCTTCGTGTAACTGGATTTTGGCAAAGTATTGGCCGTACAATTGCTGGAAATTTTAGGCATGTTATCGAGATTATGCTTGGAATGTGCAGATGAAAGATGTTGATGTCCTTCTGATCTTTGCCTTCTCTGATTTGCTAAAATGATTCATGTAAATTTGTCGTCAGACATTTGCAAGTAATCTAATATACCAACAATACATATGAATATCGATATCATGTTTTTTTATACACATGGTTCCGGAACTTTTCCGCATGATATGTACCTGACACAATGTATGTCCGCAGAGGTATTTCACATAATAGTCACTGTTTTTATGCCCCTCGCGAAAATTATCGTGGAGATTTCATATGCGGAAAATCAGGGAGATCTATGCAGCCAGACAGACTTTTTGAGAGAAAGACCAGTACCTCCCATGCTCTATTGACTGATTTGACTTTTCCGCATTTCTCTTTGACCCAAGTTGACAAGGTTATTGTAAAATAAGCGACCAATAAATAAAGGATAATTGTAGAAAATATTTCGTCTCTAATGAAATCATGGAGTCATGCATTTCTTCTTTGATTTCACTTTTGTTACCATGAGAGCTATGGGTTATCCAGTTAGTGTTTCGGATTAATGAAGAACTATTCAATATGTGCATTAGCATGATTATTTCATCCTTATCAATAATGTTGTTATTCCTTTATTATTATGGTTATTACAGTTATCAGTGGCGTACACATGATTTCCATTGGGGGACGACGGCAAAACGCACCCAGAAAAAAATTTTGGTATGTGAATTTTTAAAATACTTTACAAATTATCTTAATTACTTACAAGTATAAATAAGTCACTTGCACATCTTTGTAACTCATGTAAGTAACTTTCAAAAAATTTCGCGGCCCATTCTCGAGGGGGGGGGGCCTTCCCTCGGTACGCCACTGATAGGTATTGATATTACTATTACCAATATCTGTATATAGTTACTGCGTCTTCGTCTTCTAGTGCCTTCACTGGAAGCCTCTCATTCTATTCTACGTACAGCTGATACCACCATCAATGAGGTCTTGAAACTATACCTTTCCTACAGTGAAGCTTCTAAGGAATGCTTGTGCTTATAGTAGCTGATAGTCCTCAAATCATGTAAAAGAAAGCATTCTTGATTTCTTTCCTTACCGTATACTGTCCTTCCTTTTATGGTAGAATGGCTAAGTATTCGAAGGAAATCAAGCGAAACTAGTAGATACAAGTATGTACAGAAACCAGCGTTCATATACGAGAAAAAAGATTTCTTCTCTTTCCTCAGTTCATTTGTAGTGATAGCGAAAGCCCTACTGGTTGTAACGAGCTTTCAAGCATTTGTCAAAAGCAATCACTTTATTTTAGTGGCACTCGCATTTAGCAGTACATTTGAACTATTTAGATATTCACTCCGGCTCTCAGTTCCTATTTTCCACGGTTCCTCCACGCTCCTAAGCTTCTAGTTTCTCTCTGATTAATCTGATTTGTTGAGAATCACCTGCAACCTTGAATCTCAGTCTTCATGCTACAAAACCTCGACGAGGAATCTGTCTATTCTATATTCTAGGTACAATGACTAAAGACAATGTGAAGAAAAATCTTCATCTAAGAAATATGGTCTCTTTCTGGTGAGTTTACACAAAAAATTATGGATGTCAGCTATATTGTATTTCGATTTTAGAGCAGTGTAAAAAAATACACAATAAGAGCGGAATGAAGTTGTTAATAATGCTCAACCTTTGATTAAACTGGATTAGCGGCTGGAAGGCGGGGTTTTGTGACCTAATTATGGCCGCTCGCCCCGCAAAGCTGTCTGCGTCTCTCTCGCGCGCATGCTCTCTGATCATTACCCAGCCTTAATTAGGTCACGAAGTTCCGCCTTTCAGCCGCTAATCCAGTTGAATTAAAGGGTACAAAGCTGTAAAATAGTTGGTGTAAGAGTATGTGTAAGTCGAACTGAAACTTTAAAAAACCAAAAAGCCGAATTTTGGCTGTTGTGATAAACAAGCGATAGACTAATGGACAGGGCTCGGCACGAGGTGGCTAGATGAAAATGGAAAAAACGAAGTCCCCCTTGACTTTTGGGAATTTTTACGAAGTCCCCTTTGACCCTCAACCAAATTTCCTCTAAAAACCTGAAAAATCCCCCAAAATCCCCCAAAAAACGAAACGTCGACTAAAAAAAAAGGTCGCCGTCGCCAATTTTCCGTGTCTCTTCGGTCACGAAAACGAAACCCCCTTTGCTTTTCGTCCCAAAAACGATATCCAGCTTGCTTGTAAGCCATCGTGCCGAGCCCTGCTAATGGAAGTACAGCAACATGAAATGATCTAGTACAACTGAAGTCACCAGCAATTAAGCGTTACTAAAAAATTTATGGTAGCTGTCATGAATTCAGTTCTTTTAGGATATTTGGGCTGTGCAACAACTTCACGTTCAGTATGATGTTGAGTGCTGCTCAGGATATTCTTTCTAAACAACATCGGCCAATTCACCATGTCGAAAATGTCACGGATGTGTGCCTTGTAAGCATTTCCATTAGTTTCTTAAATTTTTTACTTCTGAGGGGCTTAGATTAGATGATTTTGAATATTTTCACTTTTCTTGATTGTAATTTTCTTTCAGCCCAAAATTACTCACCGAGTCTGCTCACCTACTTCAGCTGGTGTGGTGCTTTTATGTAATATTCTTCCCGCTCTCATGATTAAACTAATGTACCCATTCGTAATGCACTGGATCCCTTACGGGTAACTTTTAGAAACCTTTCCTTCATGATAACTCTTTTGAACCTTTTTCAGGATCCGGCATCTAATGATCTGCAGCTTTCAAGTGGCTTCGTTACTAATGACTGCTTTTTCTACTTCGGTGCCCATAGCTCTGCTCGGCGTTTGTATAGCCTCTATTGCAGGAGGGCTAGGTGAAAGCACATTTTTAGGGCTGGCTGGGCACTATTCAAAGTACGAGAAAAGCTTTTTTTTTCTAGAAGATTCAGAATCAGATTTCTTCTATAGGCATACTATTGCTACTTGGTCATCTGGTACTGGTATGGCCGGATTGATAGGGGCTTTTTCCTATGCTGGTATGACCGATGCTCGATTGCTAGCATTCTCACCTTCTCAAGCGATGTTGATTATGCTGGTTATGCCGGCTATTTACGCTTTTACGTGAGTTCCAGATTTATTTACTTTCTGCTTTCATATGTTTCTGCCTTTGAGAAAGGTTTCTTTATGTTGTATAGTCCAAATGCAGCAAAAACCAATTCATCAAGATATACGAAAGTCGAAAAAGAGGACTTTAGTGAAAATTGAAAAATAAAAGTTCTATTGACTAATAAGGAGAGAGTTTTCATTCAAAGTAGCCTTTCAGTACAAATTCTACAAGAGCTTCTATCGCTGACTTGAGACCTCTGAACGACGAGCTATGAAGATTTTTAGAGTCAAAAAATTTGGAAGGCTTCTTATGTAGACGAAATGGTTTAGAATTGCTCAGTGGGTCCAAGATTGACTGACTATAGGGGTACTTTAGGCAATGAATTCCTTGTCTAGTACTTCCTATACCAGCACTGCTTTATTCGAACTTCAAAGAGACTACAATTTATTTTACTTACTGCATGCATTATTTCCTTGGAAAAGCTCATCTGCTGGCGTCCCTGGGCGCTCGGCAGACAAGAAAATATAATAAATATTTTCAGATTTCATTTGGAATGGCGACTGCGACTAAAAACCTTTCTTTGTAAGATGAAAATTTGATAATTCTCATTTTCTTGCATGCTGTGTTGTTTCCATGATTATTTTGCGAAAACACTTACGTCTGATCAAGAAACCGTTCAAAACTTTAGAATAATCCTATCCTTTTGTGAACTTTTCTGACAAAAGTTATCATTTTGCAGTGCAGTTCATTGAAGACACGATTTTCGATAAAAAAATCGGAATTTTTCAGGTGGACAATTTTTTGTTGCAAAAAGATCCGGCACTGTTCTGATCAAATAATTTCTTTATAACGTTATTCAATTCATCCAAACTCTTGCTTTTCTAAAGCTTCTAAATATGTTACATTTATATAAAAATTCGATTCAACGAAAATCTATTCTCTTCAGTTACTATATTGTACTCGTCAGAGCGCCTACAATACGGAAAATCACTGCCAATCGTCCTGGTGACTGGTTCTCAAATGGGTAGGTGTCATAATTTGACACTAATTCCTATTTTTCTCTAGAATTCAAGATTTTAGACAAACAGAAAAGAAGAATTTACCATCAGAGAATGATATCAGCATAAAACCTAAGGGCGGTTTTATGGAACAGTTGAAAAGGGTAAAGGTGGGGCAGCATAAAAAGATTTTTTCATGGACTGCCTGGATATCCATAACTTCAGAGTTTGCTTCGCTACATGATTCCAATGTTTCTCGTCTATTTGGCTGAGTATTTAATCAACCAGGGACTTGTGAGTTTTTAGGCCTCTCTTTGCTCAGAAAATGATTTCAATATTTTCAGTTAGAACTGATTATATTCGACTGCTCGCACAGCTATGGTAATAGTCCAGCGAGTCAATATCGATGGTATCAGGTAGGAAAATATGAAGCAATTGCTTCAAAGCAAAAATTTGCTATAAATGTGTTTAGGTGATGTATCAAGCAGGAGCCTTTATATCACGATCTTCGCTAAAACTCATCCAATTCAATATGACTTTCATCGCTCTTATGCCGTTACTGCAGGTTTGCTTACTTTACTTGAAAATTTCCCTCCGCTGAAATCGGAACAAAACTTTCGGGCACGAGCCATTTATTAAAGTTCTGTCACCGCCCCTCATGGCTCCGCCCACTGGGCTGAAAAAATCGGAATTTGTCGCCAAGAATTTCTCCGCCACTTGGGCGGAGCTTGCCACCACTGAGGAGCGGGGCTTGCTTGATGGACAGGGCCTGGTTCAAAGTTGGTTGCAGTCTTTGCGTTCATTTGCGGCCTCGTCTACGCTTTGTGCAAAGGTAGGAAGAGGGCCGTAGTTGTGATAGTCATATGAGTGGGCGGAGTTTGCCAAAAACGGCGGGTCTAATACATAAAGTAAGTCTGGGCCTACGTTAAATATATGAACACAAATGAGAGGAATTGAAACTTAGTATGGAACCAAGGCTGCCGCGCAAACGATTGCTATTCCTAGCAGCGGTGAATGGAAATTTAGGATCGCCCTTGTTGTAGAAATTTCTCAAATTCAAATGATGACGTTGTAGATCATGCTCTAGAAAGGAAGGCGAGTATGTGAGAAGAGCAGTTCGGGGTTGGGGAAGGAGGGGGGGGGGATATGAAAAGAAGTCAGAACGTAGTTCTGTGATTCTTTCAGTAGAAAGCTTGTATCCTCAATAAAAGCACGATTTCGTTTTCTCATCCAGAGTAATTGGAATTCCACGGTAGACTTCTCAAAATAAAGATGACATAGCCCTCCCCCCCCCCTAACTACCCGTTCAATATTCTGATTCAGCTCCTCAACACCGTATTCCTGACAGTCAATGCTATCTATGGATTCTTGCCCCACTTTGGCATCGTATGTGCCGTCATTCTCTATGAAGGCCTTATAGGCGGAAGTTCCTACGTCAACACTTTTCATCATATCCACAGAAAGGTAAATTCAAATTTTTTGCTATATACATGTCCTAAGAAACATTGTTTTAAGGTGGATCCATCTATACGCGAGTTTGCCTTGTCCACTGTCTCCCTGTCCGACACTTTGGGAATCGTGGTAGCGGCTCTCAGTGCAATTCCACTTCATAATGCCATTTGTGAATTGCCGTTCAAGGCTTGATTGACAACATTTTTGTACCATAGCAGGACATCGAACAACTTTGATGGAAGAAAAACGGGACATAGTGGGCGCGAGATGCTCGTTGGGCTCTGCCCTCTCATCTCTTGCGTTCGCTATCTCTACAGCACTAGTTTGATATATAGTTAATTGTCAGAAATAGCCATGCTAGCGTATTTGACCGTACGAGTGCTGCTCTAGTCATATCCTTTTTACTTACCCTTTTGCCATTGATAAACTTTGCACGTTTCGATATACATACAATCTTTGTCTTGCGATGAAAAGGTGCTGTGAGAGCAACGATGACATAAATCTAACAGTTACTGGGAAGTTAATCGATGACATAAATCTAGCAGTTACTGGAAAGTAATTTTGAGGCCCTACTAAGGCACGGCCCAAGCTGCAGCGAAAATGACTGGACCCCAGGATCGTATACTAACGGACGACTTGCATCGTGTTTGCACGATTTTGCACGAGGACTAACTGTTGTGTCGCGCCATTAATCCATGCGAATTACGATCCTGGGGTGAAGTTTGGTGGCGAATATCTCAGCTGTTAGAACACCATCTGAGCTGCAGGTTGGCAATGCCTTAAAGGCAACGTCCACCCTAAGTGGAGGGTCTTGAGCTTTTGGCAGCATATGATAGTAGGGCCACTATCAAGCCAATGCCGGAGTCGCGGTGCAAAATGTCGCGAGAACAGCGCTCCGGCACAACGAAGGTGCACGAGGACCCCCAGACGGTACTGCCCTCCCCATCCATGCCCGCCCATTTGTGCGCACCCATCCAATCACCGTTACGGAGAGACGGCCTGTGAGTTTTCCGGAGCTTGGATTGTCGGGGTTTTCGCGGACTCTCGATTTCCTATTCGCAATCAGAACCATGAGAAGGCCCTGAAACGACAAAAACCTGGAAGTCGAGGATCTGAGTGGGCGGCGCCTTCATGGTCCCAAAACTACTGTCTAAGTGAGGTCCCCAAATATCTAGATTTGCCAATACGCTGCCTTTAAGGCAGTAGCTCGGCAAAGCTGGACATACAGAAATTTCAACGTGACAGGTTGCCTACCTCCTAAACATAAAAGCAGACCATGCCGGTTACGAATCATCCCCACCCTGCCGAGTAAATTTCCGTCAAGCCTGCGCGCAGCCATTTTTACGCTGCTCTCGGATGAGCGCGAGAGTCCCTACACTCTTTTCCAACCCCGACTAGGCGAAACATTCCGAGTGGATCAGCGAGGATTAGAATGACGCAGACTGCAAAGCGGCGCAAATCGTTGCGAATCGAACTCCCGCCAGTCCAATTTCTGCTTAAACTGACATTATTTCTACCTTATTTGAAGATTATTCAATACTACAGTGCTAGCCATAATTATATAGCCACCCTAGAAATCGTCGTAATTTTCGTTCTTGTCAATGAATCTGTCTGAAACTTCGCTGTATTGTGCGCATGTCAACCTGTCATGACTCCTCAAAACGGCTTCCAGTCTTGTTGAGTTTGAACGGAGAAAACCGAAAAAATTCGAAAAAGTCTTCTTTGAAAGCTGGACAAAATTATATACCCACCTGGCTTTTCTAATCACTATCGCATTCGTTGACTCTCAAATTTTTTTGTACAATAATACCCCAAAATATGAAATATTTGCAACACCTACGGCCTGTCATCCTACTCAAGTAGAAGCGATCACTGCATTTTTTGCTTTCAAAAGCACCAAAAATCGGTTTGCTTCAACAAACAACTGGTTTGAAAAGTTTTCAAGCTCTTGTTCATTTCAAATAATAATCATGAAATCTACTGATCCTTCTGGATAGAGGAGGTGAAGAGCGCTTTCGTAAACTCTGCGTAATCGCTGATTTTGACGGACAGACTCCAACCTCACCATAGGGTTGACGCACTTTTGCACCACAAAACTCAGTTTGCAATGTCCACAAAGTACTGTACTTGATTTATTACACTGCATACATGGGGATGCAGCTTTTGCAACAACTTTCAGATTTTCGCTAATGATGCGGTAGCAATTTAGACCTGAAATACCTTCCACGAAAATTCCCTGCGAGCAGAAGATTCGATATAACCGTAGATCTCCTTACTTCCCTTTGTGTTTCGCGTCATACTACATCCGATGAATGAGATTAGCTAAGATTTTGAAGTTTTAAGCGTCTCCGGTTTTATCTGCGATCTGAGATGGCTTTGATTGTGCAGGGTGCTCCACTCAACATACAGTGGATGTCAACTGCGGCTGAACCAGAGTGCTCAATCCCGAAATTTTTTCCCAGTCATGCACACGAGTTCACTGTTGTATGGCTGTCGTAATGGCTACATTACAGTATCTTCTGTTGCTTGAAAACCGAGCTTTGTGGTTCAAAAGTGCGTCAACCCTATGGTTAGGTTGGAGTCTGTCCGTCAAAATCAGCGATTACGTAGAGTTTACGAAAGCGCTCTTCACCTCATCTATCCAGAAGGATCAGTAGATTTCATGATTATTATTTGAAATGAACAAGAGCTTGAAAACTTTTCAAACCAGTTGTTTGTTGAAGCAAACTGATTTTTGGTGCTTTTAAAAGCAAAAAATGCAGTGATCGCTTCTACTTGGGTAGGATGACAGGTCGTAGGTGTTGCAAATGTTTCATATTTTGGGGTATTATTGCACAAAAAAATTTGAGAGTCAACGAATGCGATAGTGATTAGAAAAGCCAGGTGGGTATATAATTTTGTCCAGCTTTCAAAGAAGACTTTTTCGAATTTTTTCGGTTTTCTCCGTTCACACTCAACAAGACTGGAAGCCGTTTTGAGGAGTCATGATAGGTTGACATGCGCACAATACAGCAAAGTTTCAGACAGATTCATTGACAAGAACGAAAATTACGACGATTTCTAGGGTGGCTATATAATTATGGCCAGCACTGTATTATAATATTATATAATATTATTAATATTGTTATAATGTTAAAGAGTAAGTTCGGATTTCCTACGCCATTTTTCAAATTATTACTTTCGAATGTCTCCAGTCTTTGAATCAAAGAATATCATTTTGAGATGTGCGCGGTATAGCTAGAGGACAGATACTTGTGAGAGCCTACACCTTCGAAAACTGTTTACAAGGCTACTTTGAATTCAATAGAAATAAAATTCATTCCATTATTTACAGAGAGTTCGTAGAACTACGAAAATCCTTAATACCCATTATGTTTCCCCACCCCCTTTCTTTCGGTATATTTCCACCGCATTATTTCTGTTTTGTTAATCATTTACCACTATTATTCAGAAATAATAATTTGAATTTCTTCAGCTATCATTTCAAATTACAAGCCTCAAAATCTTTTCAATTTTTAGGTCAAAAATTATTAGTTTGCGATGTGTGCGGTATTGCGAGAGAGGCTCGGAAAAATTAGGAGCAGAGAAGAGAAGAAAGAGATACATACGCGAAAAGCAGTGGGGTACGAGAAATTTTTTTTCAAGGGAGGGGGGAGGAAGGGATTGAAACTTTTGGGTTCGTGGGCGTGTGGCCACTTCTAGTAAAAGAAATTTCAGAAATGGCAAATTTTTTTGGGTTCCAATTTTTGTAGCCCTCGATTTTTTAGCACACCCTGGAAAATTGTCCACTATTACTTTAAATCCTGAGATTTTTGAAAATTTCATCATTCATCAAGAGCTTGTAATCACTTTATAAAAATTTTGTGACCCATTATCCCCTCCCCCTTTGTTTATACATATATTTCTACCAAATTACTTCTGCTTTGTTCAGACATCCAATACATCTCTGACGTCAATTTCCTGCAGAAACCCTACATAGTGAAGCGTGCACTTTGTCAGTGGTTACGAAGGTGCTGCGGAACCGCTACAAATAACGGTTGTCCTGCGGAAGTTCCGGTGAATTGTCTGAGCACTCAATCTGCTGCCGCTCAAGGGAAAGATGTAATATTAATAAAAAAAATTCATTTTTTACCGCAATAGCATGTTAAGCGAGGTAAAATCGATGGATGAGCGCGAGACAAACTCGCCGATTTGACACAGAATCTAAAGAATGGAAAGGTGAGCTAAGGATCAGCTGAAGGATCACAACGTTTAAATTCAAAAATCTTAAATTTCCAAGCTCTGTTGCCTACGTACCATAAGTTCGTAAACTGAGTTGACATGTTAAACTTTGAATTCTCTTATCAGAGGAAAGCGATTGTTATGAATTTAATCATATAGAGTTCCATTCTTCTGTCATTCGGCGCATAGTTGCTCCTCCGTAGATTTAGATTCTAGACTGGCCGATTTTAGAAGAAATATTATTCGATTTCAGAGACGGAAGAAACAAAGCCTGTTTTCGCTTGTGACATGAATGTCCCAAAATAGCTCGTCCAAATATACATCTCTGGAACTTTCTGAACAATGTAACCCATAGAAATTAAATATTCTCTGAAAACAGAGAACGAGATGGTTTCGATGACCTTTTTGCTGCAGTTGCTTCTGTCATTTGCGGAAGTTACGATATTCATTCGAATTGTCAGTTTATGAGTGCAGGGGATTATATTGCGAAGATCAGTTCTACCGGCAGTACAAGTTCTGTAAGCTCCTCTTACTAATTAAGCAAAGTTTGTGTCTACTGAAGATCCTCACAAGATGATGATTCTTGGAAAGACACTGCACGTTAAGTCTTTTTTTTTCACCTTTTGAGTAATCAATTTATATAGATCGAATTGTTCTTTAGCACAAACTTCAGTAGTTGGAAAATGGAAAGCGGATGTTATTTTTATTATTGGCAGTTTCATATTCTTTGACGACTCAACTTAAAATGAGCAATCTCCGAGCGATCTTTTTTTCTTTCATTTCTCCTGCCCTTAAGAAGAGATGACTTCACCAAATACATACTCCCCTCCAGTTTAGCAAAACCACGGCGGGCAAGCAAACGAGTTGGAAAGAGGAAAGTTATGAACTTCAAAATTGGAGCGACAGAACTTCGATTCGATGCAGAAACTGAAGGATGTTATATAGAGCAGATCTTGGCAACGTTCACAAAGAACAGTCGGACGCTTGAATAACTAGGAATTTTCTAAAATATCAAAAGCGATGGAGAGTCAAGCCCGCCCTGTAAGAGATTGATTCGACGAATATCATGAGTTCAAGCTGGACGTATAACTTATGCCTTATAATTTTGAAAAACACTGACCAGGCCTTGGTTGATGAGGTATTCGGCGAAGTATACGAGAGAAAGGGGAATCATATAGCGGAGAAGATACTGAACGATCTAGTTAGCCGAGCTATAGCTCGTGAAAATACCGTAAAGAAAATACCTCAATGTTAACCTTTGCTAGAGCAATCCGATCAACAAATTTCCTTTGAGTGGACAAGGTTGCGGCTGAAGAGGTGATGACGATGTCCTCAGCGTTCCTCCTGCTGAACTTCTAACAAGGTGATGCAT